AGGACCGTAACACATTAATTTTAATCAAATCCGATTTTTGTTTTTTATGGGTTATTATGTGAGAAAATAATATAAGTTACAATAACTTTTGGACCATATTTTCTACGGAAATGGGATTTGTACCATTTTGTTAAAAGTTTAAAGGACCATGACATACTAATTTTAATTGAAACCGTCTTTTTTCTAAAATACGATTTTTTGTTATTTTTATGGGAAAATAACAAAAGTTACTTTGGAACCGTAATTCTTACGGAAATGTGATTTGTACCGTTTTGTTAAGAATTTAAAGGATTATAACATACTAACATACTACTTTTTATCAAAATTGTTCGGGACATTTTTAAGAAAATCAGATTTGTCTGTTATTTAATGGGTTTTTATGGAGAAATTACCATTGAAAATCTAAATTTTGAAAAAAATGAAAAAAAACGCCTGGAGATACCATGGATTAGTACCTACATACCAAATTTAATCAAAATTGGACAACACACACACACACACACACACACAGGTTTGTAAGCAGTACTTTCTGAGGACCCTAGCAGCAACCGTACGTTCTGAGGACATCACGAAATATTGATGTTTTTGTATCAAAATGCTTCACAATTTGCTGTAAATATCAATATTATACTGCATTTAAAACCTTATTTCCGTTCGTTGAATTTGAGTTTTTTTGTTACGGACCATACTTTGTGAGGACCATGAAAATAGTCCAACGCACTGAGGACACATGCAAAATGACCGTTAGTTGAATAATTGCAGACTATCTGAGGACTATTGTTTTTGATCATCTAAGTGAGTACACACCCAAACTATGTGAGGACTTTTATGTATCATGTGAGTCTTTCTCGTTTGAGTTAAACAGTTGGGCATCGTGTAGTGGAGCACGGCAATTTGGTCTAAAGCGAGAACGTTGCTTAGTTCACACATGAAATACATTTTACTAACAACATTTTTCAAGGGACCCAAGAGAGTAGGGTTAAGAAAATTGATAGTAAATTTAACAACCCCGCCGCATCAATCCTGCACACTAAGCAAATTTCAGTTTGCCTAATTGGCATATGCTAACTAAAGTTTTAGTGATAGACATATTGATGGAATGCGGCGAACGAAGGCATGCTTAAAGTCCTCGGAGACTACTTTGCAGACTGAGCATTTGAAGAATTTAAAAGACATTGTTTCTAGAATTTGGAACTTAACAGGTTAACACAAGTTTGAATGTTAGACATATTGATGGGGTACGATGAAGGAAGTCATTATGGAAACCTCGTAGACAATTAGCAGAGCCTATGACGAACTCAGTACATCATTTCTATTCTTTGTAACATAAAATGTTAAGAAAAGCTGGGATATGGACAAAGTAATGGGGTTTAACATAAGAAGCCGTGATGGAGGTCATGCAGACTACTGTGTAGAGCTTCTGAAAAGATTATGACATTGTGTCTATTCTTTGTAACCTAAAATATAAATAAAGGTTAAAAAATACATAATTATTGGTTTTGACAAAGGAACTTAAAATGAAGTTTTTGGAGACTTCTGTAACTGTGCCTGAGCATGGGAAGAGTTCAAGACATGACATCTAGACTTAGTTAATGGAATTGGCACTTAAGGTAAATCGAGTTATTTATAAGTTTTTTTCATAGTTCGTAACCAAGCCCTACCCCATTTTTCAAGTTGTTTTGATTATCTCTTTTTGAAGGTGAGGTGAAATAATTGTTACCATTATTGTAATTTATATTCTTAGCCAATAATTTCGTAGCGATAATAAGCGTTCAACATAACATACTCATTTACGAGCCCTGCACTATCTCGTTGTAGGATAGGTTATCTGCGCATATATACGATTACCTTATTTTAAACAAAATTGTGATAACATGCTACCTGCGAAATTATAAGGACTAACCGACCTACCTGTGCGGCCGGTCAACTTTGGTTAGAACAGCCCTGTTTATTAAAATTGGTCAATGTTTCTTTTTGTACTTGATCGTACAGTAGTTTTTTTATTCATGTCGTACTGTGGTTATCTTTTACAATGTTTACAACTGATCAACTTTACAAATACCTAAAGTTGACGATGGTGTTATAACACCGATACATTTTCTAATTTGACACAATTTAGTCTTAGATTAAAGATGTAGCCTGGGTGAAAACTTGAACTTGGTTTTTGTTCTAGAGCTCAGAAGTCAAAATTTTGAACATAGATGTGATAACATCTTAAACTCTATTTTTATTCTATTATTTTCTCTTTTAATTTAGTTCAGTTATAACAAGTCTGACATTTTTTAAATTCGAAATGACAACGATCATGCTCTTATTTTATACACCATAGCCTTGGACACAGTTGACGTAGAACCCAGTGTTATTGTGTGGAGGAAATTATCAGAGGTGTAGATAAGAAACAGACAGAACGCATCTGTTGGTTAACAGATTGTAGGGTTAGCGCAACGAACTGAGTAGAAGCTGTAAAAGAGACAGAGATGGTCCCATCTCTTGTCAAACTAGTAACTAGATATGTCCGCCTCACACGGGTATTGGCAAATAACGGTGTCATAATCTGTAGGTAGAGAACTTGTAAAATATCGAACTATCCATATATTTAATACAATCTTCTTATATTTACATCAGTTCTGAAAATCTAAGATTTATGTTGAAAATAAAAAAAAACATTTTTCATAAGAAATACTTTGAAAACTTCACATTTTCTTTTTTGACGCATGCTGCGCCATTATTTTAAAACTTTGTGTCAACCTTTACCATATCAATTTGCCAAACTTAGCCTAGTTTGAAAACGTATAAACTATTTGAGTAGGACTATATCATAAAAACTGTACATAGCTGAGTGTAGAGCCTGAGCTTAGCCTCGAGAATACTAGGCTAGGTCTAGCTCAACTAAGGGGTAAATGTTTGCCGGGTTGATCCTTGTTGGTGTATGCAAAATCTGAAATAATTCAATGTATATAATTCAATGTATGTATAGATTTATTTAATTATTAGTTTTATCAATAAACTTTTAATTCCAAAGAATCTTTGATTGATTTTATAATGTCAATTAACTACTTTTGTATGGTTTGTTTGTCAATAAAATCATTACACAGCTTGAATAGCCTGAGCTTTTTATTAATGTTTAATTAAATTGAGAAGTTAAATAAGTACAGTACCACTAAAATACGTCAGATTATGACAAATTTTTTTTTTACCACCGGGCGAACTCTATGTTTAAATAGCCTAGGTGGCTAGGCTTATTGGACATAATAACTGTTACTACATTGAAATCGAACGAATAACTTTGAAACGAGTAACTTCGTAAAACATTATGATTTTGTTCAAAGCATTGTAGAAAGCCAGTTTATTTTTTTAATGAAGAATTCTCCCTTGGTTTTACTTTAATAGTACTATATGTCTAATAAATATACTTTTTGGGCCAAAGAATGGAAATGTCTAGAGCGAAAAAATGGTTTGGATAAGGTTTTGTTTTCGGGACAGCAGATGTTTTTGGGCGATTACTGGAGATAACCAAGGCTCAAAGAGGTTGATAAAGAACTCATGCGGGTGGGCGCGTACATTGGATATCACCAACAACTGCTTGGCGACGACCTTCAACTGGTGCCGAGGATTAAATGTATCTATTTCGCATCCTCTTCCCGTTGCAAAGCACGAGTACAATAACTAGTATAAAATATAAACAGAATTATTTAAAGTATATTTTAAACTCGCAATTTCACGCCGCCTGGTATAGCTGTAATATTACCTGTAATATTGGTGATATTTGATTTAATTTAACGTTGAACCTAACCATACCAAGCATTTTACAACCCTGTTTTTTGTAAAAAGAATATGCTAATAGTAATAATTCTTACTATTTTTGTAGCATTACAAAGTCTAAAGTTTCCTATTTTATAACAAGAGTCAAATTATCACGTGAACAACCAAACAAAATGTACTATCTTAAATCCAAATAAGATTTCAAGACCTCTGACTCAATTTTACTCAATTTTAAGGTACACCAAGTCATTAAAATAGATAATTACAAAGGACTCGGTATATTCGCCAAAAGGCTCGTTCGATATGGCAGCAATGAGCTTAACATGACAACACTGTAATAGGAAGAGAAGGAGGAAGTAAGGAATGCACTTGTGTCCTCGGTAAGACAGCGTAATTTACAGTGGCGTGTGATATAAAAAATTCAAAATGAGTCCTCTCTTGTGCAAGACAGAACTGGTGAGAGTGTATAGCGTGTGTGTCGCTCAACGTGCTAGCGCTACGTGGGAGACACAACTGGAACTAACGTGTCTGACTGACCATACCACGGGGGGACATTTTTAAATCCGTGCAAATCCGGTATTTTATGGTTCCTCGAGACCTCAAGAATGCGATTCTGGAGCTAAAACGTACCGAGGACCACGAGTGTGTCCTCGGTACGTTTTTCGTCCTCAGATGGATGGTCAAAATACACGTCAATGTCCCCCAAACGTACTATTTACAAACACACACACACACACATCACTTTTTTGGGTTCAGGGGGGCCCGAAACAGATATATCCACTCAAAACTTAAATTTAAAAATTTTTACGAAAACAATAGGCCTACTTTCTTCATAAACTATAAATAGGGGGAGAAAGTAAAATGTTAGGGATGAAGATAAGACTTTAATTGTTGCCAACAATAGTACCATGAACCTGGAAATAGAACGTATTCATAAAAAATTTGTGAATTTAATACTGCATATTGGTCAATCAATCTTCTTCTGTTAACTACACTATAGTTAATTCATGAACGTTTTTACTATTTCACCTTTTGTACTGCTACTAAACAATATGGGTACTGTACATATATTTTTCTTCATTTTATTACAATCAGATTTTTATTTGATTTATTGATTTATTTTATATTAGATTTTTTATTTGACCAAATAAAAAAAAGTGATATTATAATTATTTTACATAGTACAATTTAATTAGAGTGAATCTACAAAAATGTTTAAAACTAAGTATAGAACCAACCGGGTATCTATCAGATGAAGCTTGATCCTGTTCCCGGGTATATAGTGATGAAGCGTAGCCTGGTCCTTCTACTAAGTAGCTCGGAGGCCTGTGACCAAACTGAGGCTTGCGGTAGAAGCTGCTGTGACCATAACTTCCATAACTCTGGTGAAGGTCAGGCTTGCACAGCTTAAAGAAGCCGATGAGACCTGGAATTGCAATGGCAAGGAAGCCAAGGAGTTTCTTGAAAGATGCCAATCCCAGAATCAGAGGAAGGAACAACAACAGTTTCAGCTTGAAAAGCTTTAGGATGATCAGCATCGGGATGAAGAGCTTCTTTAGTTTGTGACGAGCTGCAACAAAGTTTAGGCCACTTTATCATTATGCTATCTTTAAGGTTTTAATGTAATTGGTTGATGCAATGGATAGATATTCTAAAATAAATATTTCTAAGTTGATCAAAATTATTTTTGACACACGAACTTCAAATCAAGATCAGATCATGGGCACAAGTTGTTGTTAGGTTTACAAATTTTGCAAAAGTCATACTTTTTCCTTTTTTGTAGCAGCAAACCTAAGGACCCCATTACAACATAGTCCTAATGTTATTTTAATAGGGAATAAATTTAACATGTTTAATGGAAATTCGCTAAGCCTGCAGGTTTGCTGGAGCAGGGGTATTTGTCTATTTAACTTGATTATGTCAGGTGCTTCTGTGACTTCCTCTATCAATTGCATCAAGATTAAAATGTTCTTTCTTTAACAAGTTTTTTTTTGTGTGAATATACTACAGTACCTATTTTGTGTTACAGTATTTGGTGTTATTTAGTACCAATCTTAAAAAAAATTAGTACCTCCCCCGTTATTACTAAAGGTTATTTACTAAAGATTCCAAGCCAATGACATGCTAGCCAGGCCATACTTGAAATTAACCCTCATATACCATAAATTGGAGCCAATTTTGTCCTGATTTGTACCTCCATTAAAAAGATTTGTACCTCAAATAGGGTTCAATGACCCTTGACCCCTCAGTCTTGGTCATGATCAAATTCAATCAAACAAACTATGCCACTATTTAGTACCTACTATTGTACCTGTTTCTCGAATTCGAGCAATTGCTAAGTTTTACAGGCGTTATTTTAAAATGAATAACAGTCATAATTTCTGATGACTTTAAACGATACGACTCGAAGATTATGGAAATACTCAAGATGTACATAACAGATTGCTATAATAAACATTTCTTGTAAATAGTGTTTTCTACAAATAGCCTTACTCATAGCCGCATTAGGTTTTACATAATAACACGATTATAAATATAAAAAAACACATTACTTCTATTTCTTCTCCTTGGTGGTATTCTATGACAATTTCTATGTTTCCAGTTTACAAATCGGCTCTTTGAATGATTACTAAGAAATGCAGCACGGTGTTAATTCAGTTTTCTTTTTAGTATATCAACTTATCCAGGCTCTCTCGCTTTTTTCCATTGTAATATTTCCGCGAACTCAAATTCAAATAGTAAATACTGTATTCCATTTCAACCAAGTCAGTAAATGTTTGTAGCAAACTCCTCGTTCCCACCACCACCCCTGGCTTAAGTCTGGGACTTATTTGCCAGGCCAATTCTCCGTGAAAATCTTCTTTCTTTTTAGCCTTCAGCCACTTTCAATCCTGTGAACTCACCTTATAATATTCATTTAGGCTAGGCCTATTCTATAAATGTTTAAAGTTAATAAGTTGACAAAGATATATGAATTACAAAAGGTGTTTCATTTAAACAAATGAACAAACATGCAATGAGAAAAGGCTTGACGTTACAATGAAAGGACTGACAATGGTGTGTGGGGTTGAAATTAAAATTAAATAAAAGATAAATTTGAATAATAACTTAAAGGTTCAAATAATTTAGATGTGATATATCTCAGGGTAGGGTGTCGTGCTGGCTTGAAGGCTAATAATTATTAATAAATTTAATAGTGTCCAAATATGCCTAATTAAGGTGTTAAACTTACAAATCCCAACAATGAAAAATCTAATTTTGATGTTGTCCAAAGGGAGGTCCAATTAGCACTGAATTAAAAGAGTTTAAAGGAAAGTTTATGAGTGAAAATTTAAAAACGTACGTTTTCATGTCCCTGGCCTTTTACTTCGTAGATACTGGATTTGTAGTTTATTATTATGTGTTTTAATATTTTTTGGGACGGGAGCAAAATGTTACACATATTTATTTGGTTTTAAATAGGTTCTAGGTATTTTTTATGTAATTTTAAAGTCTCGAAATTCACGACCATGACGTGTCCCTAGGGTACATTTTCCAACTTTCACGCTGTTTTTAGACTAATTAACAATTAACTAGCCGAAATATATAAAGCCATATTTTTATGTCATCAATGGTTATTAAACTTACAAAAAAGGAGCATATTATAATTTTATTGTCATTGCAAACTGACTACCATGACAAAATAAGTCTGTCCCTCGATTTGGCATCACGACCATTTGGGAAAAATTTTCAACTTTGGAGCACGACAGTGGCAAGCCTGGCGTCGATGGAGTCAGTTGGTTTTAGAGACTAGTTCGGGGTGTACGTCAGGATTGTAGTGCTGGTCGTTTCGAGTTGAAAGGAGGAATTACAAGATTAATAAAGGAAAGATTGTGTTTTTTGTAATTTTGGTGTGTCCATGACCGTACGTAGTCATTCGATGAAGTAGACATGGTGTTAATTTTTGTTTATAAGATATTTCAATTGCTAGATTAACCTAGAAGTCCACTTTGTATCCTCAAACATGAGGTGCAGGGCTACCGCCAGAACAGAGCCAAATAACACGTAATTTCACGACCAAAGTTTCACGACCATCGCGGGTTTTTTCACGACCAATCCAGCCTTATGGATTATAGTGTGTTTGGTCGTGACAATAACTTTAATATAATTGTAATTTGAACAGTTTAGTTCAATTTAAACACTTATTTTTATTATAACTAACAGTATAGTTGAAGGATTGTTTAGAAAGATTTAGATTATTTCAGAAAATTCACGACCGTACCGCTTGTCCCTGACCATCACGTTTATGATTTCTATCATAAAAATTTCAAAAATTAAAATATCGTCATATTTCAATGTTTTATACACAATAGAAGCACACCTCTATACAAACATAATGATTTTTCGGGTCTCAGGTAAGTTTTTTCGGAGTTATTAAAACTTAAAAAGATTTTATTGGCTTTTTTTCAATTTTTTGAGTTTTTTAATTTTTTTCTAGAAAGACCAAATATACCAAAAGCTCAGTGACCTTTTTATTGTATAATGGTCATAAAAGTAAATTAGTTTATAGCAAAACATAGTTATAAAAATAATATTAACTATTTTTAATATTCATTTAAACGTCTGTTATGGTCGTGACAGGATTTTGTGTTTTTCCACTAAAGATGCTCTTTTTTAAAAAAATACCAAAGATATTGCGTTACCATGGACATTTTATGAAACTTCAAATGTTAATAAAATAAAAATAATAATAAAAGTTTTGAAAAAAGGGGGAAAAAATTTGCAAAGTGCTTTTCCTGAAAACGTACGTTTTTAAATTTTCACTCTTATACTTAATTTTGAAGATAACAATGATGGAGTTGAGTCCTCTTGAGGTTTAGGCTACTGTGATATAACTTTATATAAAATGGTCTTCTTGATGGATGAATTTGATTTAGATAAAATTTTGACTCCTTCTTCTAACAATTTCAACTTCTCAATGGCTTCCTTCTCTTTACATTTCAATGTTCACATCATTCATTGTTGAACACATGGATCACTTTCACTGCTTCTTAAATTTTGATTCCTTAAGGACTAGTTTTGAGATGATATTATACAAAATTTTGATGTATTGCAATTTTCTTACGCATTTAATAAATAATTAGGTTGTGGGCTTTGTAAAAAAAATATAGGCTATGGAATGAATATTATTAATGATTAATTGAACATATCAATGAAATTATATAAATTAGGAAAATGAATATTAGGGCAGCCTTTCTGAGGAGTGATTATTAACAAAGGTGTATGAACAAAAGTTAACATTTAAAAAAACATAATACTAAATAATGAATGAAATGACATGACATATTACAATCCTCGTCCAGACACATTATGTGCCCAAAAGCATAACAGCACGACTCCCTTCCCCATTCCGTCCTGAGAGATAGGGATCATTGAAATTCACTCTAACCATACCTCTGCTCTTCATAATCAGGTTTTCATTCCTTTTCTTTCTTAGTTTTTTATATATTTTTTATTTTTATTTAAAAGCCTGTGTGTATCCCTGGTTTTTCCTATTTCCCTAGCTACTTTTCTAAACGTGTCAATTGTTTCCTTGTCAGTCATCATGTTTTATTTTCTCATCTCTAGACCTCTTATCCAAGACTTATTCCTGTTCTCTCCTCTCCTATTTATCTCTTGAAGTGAACAATTTATAAATACATGACTTGTGGTTTTTATTTCTCCACATCTACATATTTCCTCTTCCACCAGGTTAAATCTCCACAAATTCGCCTTGAAATTTTCCATGTCCTGTGACAAACTGCGTTTCATAATGGCCCATCTCCCAATCTTGTTCCAGTCTCTTTCTGATGTTAGGTATATATCCTAACGTTTATTTTTAAAACGTTAACATAAAACATTCTGCTCCCAACCCATTTGCCACTCATCTAATATCTCATCTCTTCTGTTTCCGATGTAATCCTACCCGCCTCCTTGTCTTCCAAAATCAACAGCTTATGCAGCGATTATCCAACAGTCCTAAATTGAATGTGAAATCTTTAGGCGGCTGTTGGAGAGCACACTAAAACCCAACACGGAAGGGTGCTTGCTGTATTCGGCTATCAACGACAATAGTATTATTTGTATTTAGTTCACGTCTACCAGTTTAAGTTCGTCGGCCTCCTCCTATTGGCCGTCCTAGTCAACGTCTTAGGCTTCATTATGTCGAACGTTTTTTTGGTTATTTTTTGATTTTGTGCAAATAAAAACTGGTTTAAAACACTAAAACATCAATCTTTTCAAGTAATTTTAGTATTTATAACCAGCTGTTTCAAATATTAGTGTCAATTTCAAAGTATTCATCTGTTCAAATGTAAACAAACATTATTTTCTCCCTAAGAATAACATGGGAACTTTGAAGGCCACTGGGGTAGAGCCCTGATGGAATTCCAAAGTTTTTTTGTTTGATGGCAAAACTACATGCTAAGACCTTTATTACGACACCTTGGACATGGTGATCGGTAGCACCACCGCTCCAAAATAATTATGACAAAAATATGCCTAGCGTATTAAATATATAGATTTTGTATTATTTAGTAATGGTACCTGCAAATAAAAAATGTGTACAACCATGTAACCCAATAAATAAAGGTTTTTAAAGTTTTTCAACTACAACCTAGAATGTCACTGGCCCGGCCATGACTGAATTTGATCAAACAAACTATGCCACTATTTCGTAATTAGTAGGTTTACCCATTCCGTACTACAGTAATACCACCATTTAAATAATGTATACCACACATCTATGACCCAAGAAATAATATTAACACGTTCGCTGCTACGGACATTCCGGAACGTCAGCCGGGCCACGGCGCCAGGAGCTAGGAACGTTCCGGAACTTCACCGTTCATTGTTGTTTAACGTTTCCATGGATCAGCCAGCTCGTCACGAGTGTATTATATTTCTTTGCAGCTGGTGGGGACGTACTTTTCTTCCAATAAAATATAGTTTCCCAAAATCACCACCAGGGTCGTTTAGAACAGGGCTTTGTCCCACCTCTTTCCTGCTAGATAGTGACACTACTTTACCGACTGCAACCTGGCTAGTGCTGCTATCTATCAGAATCACTTAGTACTATGTCCAAAACCAGTCTTATTGCACAACAATGCCATCCAGTATAACTACTGTTCATTTATTCATTTATTCATGTAAATTGTCACAAATTACACCATATACAGAGGAGTTTCCTCAATGGTAGATGACATGTCAAAAATATGATACAAAAATGTTAAAAACTAAATTAATGTAACTTAAACATAATGAGAAAACAAACTCTCCACATGAACCATTTTACAAACCACTATTACTATATAAAATGAAATCCTCTACTGAATAAAACATATGGCTCTTTAGATAGTTAACAAGTTTTCTTTTAAATGCTTTGGCAGAAGATTCATTGCGAATATGAGAAGGTAGTTTATTAAATAATCGGCTGCCTGTATAGAATGGTGTCTTTTCAAAAGCTGCTGTTCGATGTATCGGCAAAGAAAGATTACAATTACGTGTAGGATAGTTATGTGTAGATTTTAAAAGAGTGAATTTGTGAAAATTTTCTTTGACAAATAGAAGGGTATGTAGAATGAAAATGCAAGGTAAAGGCAGAATATCTAGTTTCCTGAAAATTGGTTTGGCTGATGCAGTATAGGGGGAATTTGTCATAGCACGGACAATGCTTTTCTGAATCTTAAATATTGCTAGAGAAGACTGTGAGTTGCCCCAAAATATCACTCCATATGTTAAGTTTGAATAGATATATGCATAGTAAACCATTTTCAAAATGTTTATCTCCAGGATTTTTGATAAGTTTAGAATTAGAAAATGACCTTTATGGAGAATTTTTGATAAAAAATTTACATGCTCATCCCACTTCAAAGAAGGATCAACGTGTAACCCTAAGAATTTATAACTGAGTGAAAATTTAAAAACGTACGTTTTCAGAAAAAGCACTTTGCAAATTTTTTTCCCCTTTTTTCAAAACTTTTATTATTTTTTTTATTTCATTAACATTTGAAGTTTCATAAAATGTCCATGATAATGCAATATCTTTGGTAGTTATTTTTTAAAAGAGCATCTTTAGTGGAAAAACACAAAAGCCTGTCACGACCATAACGGACGTTTAAATGAATATTAAAAATGGTTAATATTATTTTTATAACTATGTTTTGCTATAAACTAATTTACTTTTATCCTATACTCTAATACGAGCAATGTTTGCTTGTATGTATGTATGTATGTATGCTTGCTTGCTTGCTTGCTTGCTTGCACCAAGATCTCGAAAACGGCTCCGACGATTTTCTTCAAATGTTGTAAATAGATTATTTTTGGCCTAAAAACGAGTTTACTACAGTTACAACTGCCAACAAAAATCTAATTACGTAGAAAAATGAAACTGAAAGTCACATTTTTTTAACATTAGTCTTATGGGTTGCTAAGTAACCATGTTGGAAGAATTAAATAACAAGGAAAAAGTAAACAAAAGACTTGTAAGTTAAAACATGTGTTCATAAAGGCATCTACCCACAGTATACTAGAAATTACAAAATACAGTACAAAAGCAAAAACATCAGTTGTTACTATTAAGCAAAGATTATGCTGAAGATTACTGGATACAATGTTTGTAGTAAAGGCTAGCAGTGCGGAGTGTAGGAAGCGTCTGCGGCAGTTGGATTAATGTATCTAAAATACTCAAATGCTACGGTTAGATTCCCCATCCTTATGGAACAGCTGAAGCCAATTTTATTGGTAGTTCTGTCCGGTTTTCTGTAGATGTCGTTTTTGTCTACAATCTGTTTCTATTATTTTAGGGTTAGTTTCTCATTATTTGTGTCTCACTGTTTGGTTATATAGCTAATGGACGAGTTATTGTTTATGATTAGATAGTTTTATTTGGTTAAACTAGGGTTTAAATTACTGAAATAACAAGAAACAAATTGTAAACCAAACACGACATCTACAGAAAACCGGGCGGAACTAACAATAAAATTGGCTTCAGCTGTTCCATAAGGATGGGAAATCTACTAAGGGACTATGTTTTATCATGTTCTATCCATGCTTAAATCCTAAGAAAAGGGTAAAATATTTATGTAGTATGAAATTATGGAAAAGTGGTAGGCCTATGTCAATTATTGTATGAGCTTTATGCAAGCACATACTTTGGTAACTATATATCTCAACTCTAGAAGGGTAAAAAGTGTATTACTACATCACTAGCTCGAAAAAAAGTCGAATATATTTTATTCTTATTGTGGCCAACTTTGTTTAAAATCTAGAGTCGACTCAATCCGATTGGATTGTATTATGTCATTATGCATTATGGCAAAACTTATACTGAAATAAATAATTACAAAACTAATACTGAAATAAAAATTTTGCATTATGCACATGTGGTTAAAAGTCACATGTTTGTGATTAACGTATCAACAATAGAGTTTTGTTTGTAAACATCTTGCCTCAAAAAATTCGTTACTAGATGGAAATGTACTCAACAAAAAATCTGAAATCATGAAAAGAGGACGACCACCAAATAGAAGTTTGAAGAAGTTGGGGAATTTCTTTAAAAGTCACAAAGCTGATGAAGACCAGGTAAGTTATAAAATATATACCTTTACTAATTTAATTACATACATTAAATCCGTGTGATATGTCATTACTAGCTTACACCACGAATACAGAAATTGGAATAGAGTTGCTTATTTTATATTTCTCTATAGCTCATTGTGTGAGGTACATTAAAAAGTTAGATGACAATTTACAATTTTGTGAACATCATTACATTGAAATAGTTATATTTTGTTTAGGATGGAACAATTCTATAAAGGTAGGATAACTAAGGAATAAACTTATTTGTTTAATTAAAAAATTTGAATTCTTAACTTTTGTCCAATTTACTGGTCATTATGGTTAAATAAATATAATGATGTCAGTTTCTCTAATAAATTTTAGTAGTTAGGCAAGCTCATGAGGAGTTTAAGGTAAGTTTTCAATACTTCAAAACCTGTAGATAAGAATGGTTTTGTATGAGCTAGCATCCAATTATAAATTTGTAAAATCTAATATCATTCAGGAATTTGTTCTATTGAAATAGCAAGAGTGTTTCAAGCAGAAAGTTTGTGCCTTTTTCACCCAAACAATAGAGAAGCAGGCTGTAAGTTGAATGTGACATGGTGGGGAGACCGTCTTGAGCATTGTCCTACACACAAATATCTTAGTGTAGTGTAGTCTTACTTCGGTCCAAAAAGAGCTTCATATCACGGACACGAGTTCTGGATGGATCACTCTCAGAGCAATCGGATGGAAAGGTGGGAGGCCAACCCTCCCATACCAGCCAGGGAGGAACTGGCTCCTGGTGGATGCCTTCATTACACGGTGTGGAAGACTCAAGACCGAATCAGGGTCGAGGTACCAAAATGCAAGACAAACATGCAGAAATGGGTCTCTTACAAGACGAAGAAAACGTCTTGTGTGCGTGTGGTGTTGTTCAGGATCCCGGCCATGTACTGATGTCCATGCCTAGACCACATTAGATTACCTTTTACAAGCGAATGACAAAGCCATATTGGTAGCTAATTTCTGGAAAAGCGAAGTCTGATTTCCGGACACGGAAAGTAAGTAAGTAGCATTGTGGAGGAAGAGGTAGGCTATAGGGTTAGTTACCATTTTTTACGACCTTTAGAAAGGAGCTTAAATTTTCTTTCTTTGATCAAACATTTTTTTTTTATTTCAGGCTGCAAAAGAACCTGATCCTGAAGGACCTGAGGGGTCTGGTGTATGTGTCTTAGAAGTTCAATCTGAACAAAATGTGAGTCTTTATTATCATCTCAACCGTATTATTAATGTAAAATTATTCAAAAGTATTAATTTATTTAGTTTATAAATATTATTTTGTGATAAATTAATAATACCAATAACTAATAAAGTAGGTAAGTAATCAGTCACCAATTTTACGATCTTTGAAAAATAGCTTACACTTAGATACAATTAAAATTACCTTTCAACAAGCATAAAAGACAAATATTTAAATTTCAGGTCACAAATGGACTGCGCATGTTACCAGATCAATCAGATGAAAATGTGAGTATGAGTAACTATACCTAAACCGCATTGCCACAGTAGGCTAAATAATTTTAAAAAGTTGAACCATTCTTTTTGTGGTTAATTCATATTTGAAATTACATTTAATGTACTGTAGAAAAGTATGAGTTTGGTTCAAACAGAAAATTTAAAAAAATATTCTAATCACGCAAAAAAATCTGTCATTATTGTTATTGTATGCGGTTAAAAATTGCATTACTCGATTTTTGGACAGTGTAAATGCCTTATGTACCTAAAGACCGGAATAGAAAAGATAACTTTTGCAAAAAGTAACCATTAATGGTGGATATAGGTTAGAGGATCATCATATATTTTCATGAGTCTTTACTGTTGCTAGTAAACAAATAGACCTACTGGTATTGTTTGTTGAAGTTGTTATACATTTATTTTTATTTTCCATTATGATAAATTATTATTCTTATTCTGGTATTGGAGTATGCCAAGAGTAAGTATAACGCAACAAGTGTAGATAGGAATATATTCTAAAATTGGCCAGGTGATGCTTCAATTTTTACTCTCAGTAGACTAGGATACAAATGTTGCAGTATTACAAATTAACACAACCTTAATACAGATTTTTTATTTGTACAGCTGATGACTTCCAACAAACCCATTAGATGTGCAAAGATAAGGGCTCTGGAGATAATTTCTGATGTAAGTGCTCAAATAAGTCAATCTATGGTGGAAGAAAAGGTAAATTATTTTGAGCAAAGAAGAATGTCAGAAGACAGCCAGGCTCGTGCCACTCGCCTTGAGGAACAGCGACAAAGAGACGCCAACCGCAGGGCTGCCGAGGAGGAGGACAAGCGAGCACGACGCCTCGAAGAACAGCGGCAAAGAGACGTCAACCGCAGGGCTGCCGAGGAGGAGGACAAGCGAGCACGACGTCTCGAAGAACAGCGGCAAAGAGACGTCAACCGCAGGGCTGCTGAGGAGGAGGAGAATCGAGCACGACGCCTCGAAGAACAGCGGCAAAGAGACGTCAACCGCAGGGCTGCCGAGGAGGAGGACAAGCAAGCACGACGCCTTGAAGAACAGCGGCAAAGAGACGTCAACCGCAGGGCTGCCGAGGAGGAGGACATGCGAGCACGACGCCTCGAAGAACAGCGGCAAAGAGACGTCAACCGCAGGGCTGCCGAGGAGAAGGACAAGCGAGCACGACGCCTTGAAGAACTCCGACAAGCAGCCACTATCCGCAGAGCCGCCGAAGAAGAAGACGAGCGTGTTCGACGGCTTGAAGAACTGCGGCAAGCAGCCGCTATCCGCAGAGCCGCCGAGGACGAAGACGAGCATGTTCGACGTCTTGAAGAACTGCGGCAAGCAGCCGCTATCCGCAGAGCCGCCGAAGAAGAAGACGAGCGTGTTCGACGGCTTGAAGAACTGCGGCAAGCAGCCGCTATCCGCAGAGCCGCCGAAGAAGAAGACGAGCGTGTTCGACGGCTTGAAGAACTGCGGCAAGCAGCCGCTATCCGCAGAGCCGCCGAGGACGATGACGAGCGTGTTCGACGTCTTGAAGAACAGAGGCAAAGAGATGCCAACCGCAGGGATGCTGAAGTGGTAGACGAGCGTGCTCAACGCCTGCGAGAACAGCGTCGTCGTACAGCTGAAATACGACAGAATTCTGAGCGTAACCAACTTCAATCCTATAAAGCCGCTGCCTCAAGCCTCGTAGAGTACAGCAATTTGGGAATGTTTGACATCGCATGTGTTCATTGTGGTGCTGTTCATTTTTTAAAAGAGAGAGTGCAGAACAGAATTCACCCTAATTCATTTGGTGACTGTTGCCTTCATGGTCGCATTGAACAACCCGCGCCAGAGTTTCCCAATGAATTGGCATTGCTGTACACAAAACAACACAGACTAGCCAAACAGTTCCACGATAAAATTCGAAATATCTCTGCCTGTTTTGCTTTTTCTTCATTCAATGTTGCTGATGACAGGACTTTCAATAGTAAAGGTATTTATACATTTACTGCTGGTGGACAAGTGTATCACAAGTTAAATTTGGCGGCTCAGCCAGTCAGCAACAGTGAGGGTGATTTGGAAAGACCTAGATATGGCCAAATGTACTTCATTGATCCGGAAACAGCCGTTGCAGAACGTATGAATGAACCAATGAATCAAGGCATCAATCAAGAACTAATACAGATTTTAGAGGAGATAATGAGAAGTCAAAACCCATTTTCACAGGCTTTTACGATGATGAGGGAGATAGTTGAGGAAAACAATCAACGTGCTGAAGCTCTTGGTGTCCAACCACCCCATGTCCACCTCCTGTTTGCTGAACGTGCAGGTAAAATAATACTGTTTTCTCTAATCACAATTATTTTGTATGTTATTTGTAGTTGCTGCAAAAATATAAAATCAGAAATATAAAATAAACAGTAACTAAACATAAAACTTATGCAAACTTATCAAGTAAGTTGTCTTGTGTTTGTTACTCCTCGATAAATATGATGACTCTGAAGGGAAATTTAATTGAAGGGTCGCCACAACTAACGTTTTGCTGCAATCTCAGTACTAAACTCTGAAAACTTCCATATAAGCATAAGTAAGTGCGCCGTAGCCTTTTTTATTTCCTTTCTCTTCTCTTCTCCGTAGCTTTCTATATTGCATGTAAGAATAACTACAACAGCCTGTTAAAATAATAATACCCCCGCCGCAGCAAACCTGCAGACTAAGTGAATTTCCATTTGCCTGATTGGATTTACACTAAAATGTCTCCTGAAAAGTATCACATTTATTCCCTATTTTAATAGATTAGTTTAACGTACTTAGGTTTGCTGCAAAAAGATGTTTTGTGGTAAAATGTTAATAGTTTAGTAAAAAATGAATGTATTTTACAAATTTTATCAAAATATGTTCATAAACAAGCAAACTAAAACAGTTGACTTATTCTCCATAAGAATAACATAGGAATTTTAAATTTACAATTTTTTGGAATTTTCTCCGTAACCATTAGGCGCACAATAACGCTTCAATATATTAAATTATTTGTTTTTTAAGCTCTACAAAATGGTTTGGAAAGAAATTATGAAATTTTTTGTTTTTAGGGTAAAAAACATATTTTTATTTGTGTCATTTTTCTCTTAGAACTAAATAACGATTAAAGTTAAGATTTTTTTGTTTTTCATATCATTAATTTACGATGTTTACTTTTAGGCGATGATCCCAGGCGATTCAACTCACCAACTTATAATGAAGTTGCTGCTGTAATTACATTAAATGCAGACCAAAGTATCCCGGAAAATGAGATGGTTATTAAGGAGCGAGGAAAACAGTTAATAACGCTCAAGAACATTGACAGCCGAGTAGAACCATTCACCTACCCTCTCCTCTACCCAAAAGGAACTTTTGGGTTTACTGTAGGGCTTCCTCTTAAAACGCCTTATGCAAGCCGTGCACACATGACGAGGATGGAGTTGGCTCAATACAGGTTAGCCTTTCGTCCAGAACAAGCCAAGGCTCTTCCTCCTGAACCATTGCTAGAGGGATTAGATCTAAGGTCGATTGGATTTAATGCTCTCCACTTTGGTGGTAGACTGTTTCAACAGTACGTCGTGGACACATACATCCGTGTTGAACGTGATCGTATTCAGTGGATCAAAAATAACCAAAAGAAACTTCAAGCTGATCAGTATGCAGGAGTAACACATTTTCTAAATGAATTGGCTGAAAAGAAAAATGCTACAGTTGCTGAAAAACTGATTTTACCATCATCTTTTCCCGGATCAACGAGATATTTCACTGAACACTTTGAAGACGCTATGGCAATTGTCCGAAGGTTTGGCTCTCCAGACTTTTTTATCACAATAACGTGCAGTCCAACATGGCCAGAATTAAAAGAAGCTGCATGTATTGAGCTCTCTGATGGTTCTAAACTACAACAGTTCGCCCAAGAAAGACCTGACATTGTGGCTAGGGTAGCCAAATTGAAATTTGACAGCATAGTTGAAGATATCAGTAAGAAACAGATTTTTGGGAAGTCTTCTGCTTTTGTTTACACTATAGAATTCCAAAAACGAGGATTACCCCACCTACATCTTCTTGTCATCATGGCAAATGAAGACAAACTCCGGTCTCCAGAGGAAGTAGACACTTTCATTTCGGCAGAAATTCCTAATGATGACCCAGTTCTAAGGGAGTTGGTCCTCAAATGGATGATTCACAATCCATGTGGCGAACTTAATCCGTCTGCGTCATGTATGGAGAATAAGGGTGGATCAGCTAAATGCCGCTTTGGATTCCCCAAAGCTCATCAAGAGTTTACGTCAATTGTTGACAACAAAAAACCGAATTACAAAAGACGGTATGACCCACAACTGGATCCAAATAACCCAGAATTTTCTCACGTCCATGCGGTGTACCGCAAAAACAGTGATGGACAAAAAGTTACACGGGACAATAGACATGTTGCTCCATACAATGGCTATTTACTGAAGAAATACATGTGCCACATAAATATCGAGTATGTTGGTAGTGTTAGAGCCGTTAAGTACCTCTATAAATACATTTATAAAGGGCATGACTGCGCAAATGTAAAAATTGTTGAAAATGTGGCCCGAATAATGTATAATGAAGCAGAAACATTTGTTGAGGCACGTTATATTTCGCCCCCTGAAGCATGTTGGAGGCTGGCTGGAAATGAAATCCAAAGGAAAAGCCATTCGGTGCAACGTTTGGACATCCATCTAGAAGGTCAGTACCGTATGGGAAACATTGAACAGACACAAGAAGATGTCGCGGACACTGGCCTGAAAGGGTCCACCTTAGAGGCGTACTTTAAACACAACTCTAAACTTCACATAGAAGAAGAGAATGGGAATGAAGTAATCTACTACTTCTACTGGCAGATGCCAGAAAAGTACAAATGGTTAGGCAAAACAAGTGAATGGGTGGTACGACAGCGAAGCTCAAAAACGATTGGAAGGATCCACACTGTGAACTTGGTGGCCCAACCTGAACTTTATCACTTAAGAATGCTCCTCTTCCATACCAAAGATGCCAAAAGTTTTGAAGACCTTAAATTTGTAAATGGGACTGCCTATTCCACTTATAAACAAGCATGCCTAGCAAAAGGCCTTACATATGATGACCAGCAATGGATTGATGGGCTGCGGGAATCCGCTTTGTCAAAGATGCCCAGTGTCATGAGGACACTCTTTTGTCAAATCTTGATTCTCGGATCACCAGAAAACCCTAAACGTCTCTGGGATATGTTTAAGGACGAGTTGGCAGAAGATTTTCTTAGAGAAGCAGAGATTTCTGGAACCCCTCTAGAAGATTCTTACAACAGAGCATATAGAATCATAGCTTACAAGCTAAATACTGAAGCTACAGAAGGTAATAATCAACTTATAAATATTACTTATTACAAAACTTAAATTAAGTTTATTTTGAGTGGATACCCCTTCAAAATGTATAATATATTTATTTATATTTTATTTTAAATGATAATATCTTTCTCTTAAACTGACAGCGAGTAGGTTAGCCATGCCGATGGTCAATGAATGTTGTCTATTGGTCTACCAAAGTTAAATATCAATCTTTAGTGAATTACTTCAACATATCATACATAATACCATATCAATATTCAATTATTTTAATGTCTTTAAAAGTCATTTCAAAATAATGATCAAAGATGATCTAATACAGTCCTTACTATCCTATATATAATACGAGTAAAGTTTGAATACTTGTCCACTCGATCTGGGAATCGGCCCTAACAAAATCGTTTATATTTACGGAATAACTAAGTTCTGTGCCAAAAATAAGTTCTAGACCAGTGGTATAGCCAGGAAAAATCTATTTTCGCCATAATATGAGTGCAAACTTTTGAAAATTTAACATGGGCCTTATGAGAAAACATTCCGCCATTGTTGTCATTTTGTTTACATTTTAAGACATAACATGACGTTCTGTACCCACGGGCACCTCAGCTTGCCCATGCTATTTGTAGCATATGTTTACACAGACCAAAAGGAAATAACAATGTGTGTATACAGAGCAAAGGAAATTAACATTCAGATTATACCATTGAGCATATTATACTATAACTGAAAAACCAATTTCTGTCAATGTCGAGTGCGGTAGTTAAATTAATGAGAGGATGGAATAATCTTTAATTAGCTTTAACTTATACACCTCCTTTTATATTTATTGGGTAGTAGATTTCTGCTAAATTTATTTCAACTTAACTATTATTTCACGTGCAATTTCACTACATTCCCTATTGTAATGAATCTTCTAATATAAGTCATGCAGTAAATGATCACAACACTCATGAAGGCTTACCGTATTATTGCCCATAAGCTGAATACTGAAGGTAATTCTTTCTCATAGTATCAATAACAATAACATACAATTACTTTTGATCAACTGATTCTATGGCTTAAATTTCAATTCTAACATTGGAAGCGCACTTGACTTAGGCTTCACATAAGTTCTAAAATATGATAAACTAACCCATACTAATTATGTACAGAATTGAAAATGCTAACTTATTATTAAATTAAATATTTAGCATTTGTTACTGTAACTCATTAGTAGATTACTTGACCATAAACTTTATTAACATTGTGAAACGTTTATATTTTTTAATGTCATTTATGATAATTGTAAAATTAGAGTGTATAATTGTTCAAATTTTATTAAATATAAGTGTGAAGCAAAATAAAAATAAAAAATATGCAATGAATATTATAACAAATTAAAATAAGAGAAAGCATTAGACTAAAATAAATTATACTACATGTTTTAATACTTATGATTTTGTAAAAAGTGAACTCAAAATAATTATTTATTTCAGGCCGAAACTTCCAATTTTGGGTGGAAAACTATGGTATGGATGACATTCAGAATTTTCAAGACGAGGGAAATGAAGAAACCCACAATGTCAGCGAATTAGAAGCCATTGGTCGCAGACAATATAGCAATTTGAATAACGAACAAAAAGACTTTGTTGATGCTGTTATGGAAGCAATAGAAGACCCGATGAGTTGCATCCCCAAGTGTTTTTTCCTCGATGGACCAGGAGGTACAGGGAAGACATACGTGTACAATACCCTCTACCATCTAATTCTTGGAAAAAATCTTAATGTAAAATGCATGGCATATACCGGCATTGCATCAATCTTGCTACCTGAAGGACGTACTACCCATAGGACTTTTGGTCTAAAAGTTCCATTGACTAGCGATTCTAAATCATCAATTCAGCCAGGCACTCAGAAGGCCCAAGAACTGGCAGAAGTAGACGTATTTATGATGGACGAAGCACCAATGCTACCAAAATATGGCCTAAGTTGTATTGACGGACTCCTGCGAAGCTTAGGAAACAGAAACTTGCCTTTTGGAGGAAAAACTATGATCCTAGGAGGAGACTTCCGCCAATGCCTTCCAGTCCAGCCTAGAGCAAATCGATCTGAGCTGATCGACCTTTCTGTAAAACGTTGCAGTATTTGGAAGTTTTTCAAGCTCTTCTCTCTTCATCAAAACATGAGAGTCAATCTCGATGAAAGTGCATTTGCTGGATATCTCCTTCAACTTGGAAATGGAGATTTGCCCACCAACAATGACTGTGAAATAAATATTCCCGATGACATTATTTCAAATGGAAATATTGTTGAACAAATATATGGCGATTGCCTAGCCAACAGAGATTACAATGCTATGAGAGATAGAGCCATCCTTGCACCTTTAAATAGAGATGTTGATAATATCAATAACGAGATCATCCAAATTATCCCTGGACAAGAAACAATTTATAAAAGTTTTGATTCAGTAAAAGATGAACCTGATGGAGCTCTCAAATTCCCAACTGAGTTTTTAAACTCAATTGAAATATCAGATTTACCACCTCATGAACTCCGACTAAAAAACAACGTCGTTATAATGTTACTCAGAAACCTAGACGTGACGGAGGGTTTATGCAATGGCACAAGACTGATTGTCACGGAGTTGTGTCCGAACATTATTAAGGCTAAAATAATTACTGGCAGTCATTCTGGTCGAGATGTCCACATTCCAAGAGTCACTCTGGATTCGAGCAAGTGTCAACTCGGATGTTCGCTGCAAAGACATCAGTTTCCAGTTCGACCAGCTTTTGCTATGACCATCCATAAGTCTCAAGGCCAAACCTTTCAGTCTGTTGGTGTTGTGTTAAACAACCCCGTATTCATGCATGGGATGCTCTATGTAGCTTTCTCCAGAGTACGAACAAGAAACTCTTTAAAAGTTGTTTTGCCATCTAGAGACAGAAAATTAACTAAAAACGTTGTTTGGATGGAAATATTCAGATGAACAATATTGAAAATGTTAGTTCATTTTGGTCTATGTAATTAATATTTAAATTTGTACCATAATAACTAGCTTACCTTACTTGAAATTATTTAGCTTGGATTAATAGTTTGTTGACTTAATTGTCGATAATCTGAAGAATATAGTCAAATTAGAATCTAGAGCAGAGGTAAAATATGTAATTGTATTATATCCTATTTTACCACAGTTGAATGCTTATCACCATTACATTTTTATAGTTTAAAATTGGTTTAAAACTGACTAATTTGAATTCTTATGTGTTTGTTATGTTATTTGTTTCAGTCTATAAAAAACAATCGTATAAACAATTTGTAGTTTTCATGTTTTTACAATAAATGCAGCCTCAGTCTGTAATATTAATTGTAACTACTGTGATATTTTTCTTTGTTTGTTTAAGAAAACTATTTGGAAAAGTGAATTGAGATGCTTACAGTTCTTGTGTGGAAATCCTTAGAACTTAAATTGCAATATTATAGCATGCCATGTTGTCTATACTCAACTACAATGTAGCCAAATTAGGATGTTTTTATTTTTTTGAAAAATAAATCACAATATTTTATTGTTTAAAGATGGAATAAATTACTATATTAATTTACATGAGAATCATCAATTTTGCTTAAAAAACAAAGTCAACTACAATATTACTATTATAACAGACTGATAAACAATTATGTTTTTGATAGATGACATTGAACAAATATTTTCTCAGAGTAAATACTAATGATTTCCCGAGCAAAGCTCGGTCCCCAGGTACTGACCATTATACAATAAAAAGGTCACTAAGCTTTTAGTATATTTGGTCTTTCCAGAAAAAAATAAAAAAACTCAAAAAATTGAAATAAAGCCAATAAAATCTTTTTAAGTTTGTATAACTACGAAACAACTTACCTGAGACCCGAAAAATCGTTATGTTTGTATAGAGGTGTGCTTCTTTTGTGTATAAAACATTGAAATATGACGATATTTTAATTTTTGAAATTGTTATGATAGAAATCATAAACGTGATGGTCAGGGACAAGCGGTACGGTCGTGAATTGTCTGGGATAATTTAAATCTTTCTAGGCAATCCTTCAATTATACTGTTAGTTATAATAAAAATATGTGTTTCAATTGAACTAAACTGTTCAATTCACAATTATATTAAAGTTATTGTCACGACCAAACACACTATAATCCATAAGGCTGGATTGGTCGTGAAAAAACCCGCGATGGTCGTGAAACTTTGGTCGTGAAATTACGTGTTATTTGGCTCTGTTCTGGCGGTAGCCCTGCACCTCATGTTCGAGGATACAAAGTGGACTTCTAGGTTAATCTAGCAATTGAAATATCTTATAAACAAAAATTAACACCATGTCTACTTCATCGAATGACTACGTACGGTCATGGACACACCAAAATTACAAAAAACACAATCTTTCCTTTATTAATCTTGTAATTCCTCCTTTCAACTCGAAACGACCGGCACTACAATCCTGACGTACACCCCGAACTAGTCTCTCAAACCAACTGACTCCATCGACGCCAGGCTTGCCACTGTCGGGCTCCAAAGTTGAAAATTTTTCCCAAATGGTCGTGACGCCAAATCAAGGGACAGACTTATTTTGTCATGGTAGTCAGTTTGCAATGACAATAAAATTATAATATGCTCCTTTTTTGTAAGTTTAATAACCATTGATGACATAAAAATATGGCTTTATATATTTCGGCATGAATAATTAGTCTAAAAACAGCGTGAAAGTTGGAAAATGTACCCTAGGGACACGTCATGGTCGTGAATTTTGAGACTTTAAAAATACGAAAAAAATACCTAGAACCTATTTAAAACCAAATAAATGTGTGTAACGTGTTGCCCCCGTCCCAAAAAATATTAAAACACATAATAATAAACTACAAATCCAGTATCTACGAAGTAAAAGGCCAGGGACATGAAAACGTACGTTTTTAAATTTTCACTCAACTATCTGTTCAGAGCCTTCTTTATAAAATGCGAGGCCTGGGGCAATAAATAATTGCGAGGACCTGTTTAATAATTCCAACCGGGGGATCTGGCGGGGTCCCCCCCAGTGGAAAGGGGGGTCCTCCCCTGGAAATTTTTGTAAAATTATTCTTGCAAAGTTGTCATTTTAAGCACTTTGACGAAAAAATGAATCTTTTACACTCTGAAAATGGGTGTGAATATTATTGCTAATTGCACATATCATTGTTCCAATTCCAAAGTAGATATCATAAATATTGCCCACAAAGTTCTTTACAATCATTTATAAAAAAATGAACACTTCACTGTGGATTGTCGTCCCGTCAATTTGTAAATGCTCATAGGCTAACTTATCTTGCTTATTTACTTTTTGTCAATTTAGGTTTATTGTGTTTTCGGCAGTTGGTCTGTGAAGGGCGTTACAAAGGTATAAAAAATATTACCTATAATTGTCAATGAGTTTTTAACAGACAGAAAGACACTAACACATAAATAAAACTCGGAACTCACAATTATTATTAATATAAGAAATATGCCACTAAACTAATGACACTAAAATAGGTTTGGTTCAGGTGCGTTTGTTTACACTGGCTGTCAGGTGGGAGGAGGTAGGAAGGCGATCACGTGACATAATCACCCCCCTACCTTCCCACAACATATGCCAGGTTCGTCAGTGGTCATGGGCGCCCACCGGGGGGTGCTTGGGGGCGCATTTGCCCCCCCTGGCTAAAAAAAAGAAATAAATTTAATACCCATAATGTTCTGTAATCACTTGGGTTTTAAGGAATTTATAAAAGTACGTTCATAATGGTCATGTCTAAAAAAAGTTTTAAATTGATGTTAATTAAATAACTAGTTGACTCACAGATGTACCAATCTTTTATACTTTCTTTAATTGTTTGGTTCATTTTTAATGTTGGCATAAAAAACTATGACTTACCCTCCTTAATGCACAATATACTATTTTGTTTTGGTTGGTTCTATGTATTACAAAATAGTGTAAAAATACATTTTAAAACACTATATTTTCAGAAATTTTACCGGGGAAGGCCCTAGACCCCCCTGATGTTCGTTCGACCTATATATTGCACCCCCCTGTTCCAAATCCTGCGGGCGCCCATGTACGGTGGTGCCATGGTGCTGCGTGGTGTTGGCCCGCCAGAGTAAGCATATTAAAGTACGATTTACTCACTCACACTCACCGGGGCGGTTGCCGCGAGACTCAGCTTCTCCCATCCCGCCGCCGACGCTGTTAAACGATGTTTCGTATACTTTTGTGTTTTAAATTTTGTTCATAGGTTTTTATTAAATCAATACAATAACTGAAATAATTCATAATAAATCAGATATATTTTAGGCAAAAGTATCTGTCTGCCCTTATTTTATTATTTTTTATTCCAAACTTTAACTTATTTTAGCGATAGTAAGGCCTCGCCCGCCTAACCAAATACTTTCCAGGCCTGGGGCGGCCGCTCCATTGGCTCCACCCTAAGGACGGTGCTGCTACTGTTGTTTTTACTGTAATTCAGTGTATCAGCAGCAATGTTACGCAGCGGCAAGCGTTAATTCAGCTTCTGGCGCAGTCCCGGTATTTAGTGGTCAGCAGCGAACGTGTTAAGTTTAACCATAGTTATTAACCTCTTGATGATTCAAATTGATTTGCTTGACCCACCAATTTAGAATTACCAAGAGACTACTGTACTTTTTTTTTGCTTGAGCTCCCAAAAAGTACGAAAGAGGTAACTTTTTGAAATCTTGATTGAGTAGCATTGTATAGTTTATAAATAGTTCACTTACACAGAATATTGTCACTTTTGTTCTCCAATATGTTGATTTCCTCAGATATTTCATCAATGAATCTTGGAGCATACCTGCCTTCAGCTAAAATCTCATCAGGAATGCTCACTTCAATAGCTGAAGATTTGATGAACCGTTCTACCTGTACATTGTATCATAAGGTTATTGTTTAAGTTAAATGTTCATTTGGTCATCGACTTTCTTGCCTATTGACACCAAATATGTATCTTATTTTAAACTAGTTTTTTACTGAATAGTTTGTGATCATATATAAAAGTTAATATTGATCCCCATAAATTTTAGCCTTTTTTTTAGAAAAGAGAGGATAATATTCTACAACATTGTTATACTACACTGCATCATAGTATCTATTAGTAGTTGACTTTATTCACACAACAGTAAATACTAAAATTAATATTCTTCAATTATAGTTTTATATTTCATGTTATTAAAATCAAATTATCAAGACTAGTAGATAATTGATTAGATCATATCGTTGCTCCCAATACAAAATATATCTCAATTTTTGGCCATTTTGAGTTTGACCACTACCATATGGAGTTTTGTGTATATTTTCTTGTCTCATCACAACGTATCCCTACGACAAAACGTTCCCAAGTTATAAAGGAAAGTTATAAAGTTCTCCATCAATATTGTATGAACAATTTCCATTGCAAGTTTTTAGTTGCAGAATAAGAGTAGATGTTTCATTGTTTTGGTTCTTACCTTCCTCATTATAAATTTGGCGAATTGGTCCCATTCAGAGTCAGTTTCTCGTGCCTCATTCGAGTACTCAAATGGCTCCTGGACCAAACGTCGCAGTTGAGTGCCAGGCATGCGAACCACTCGACTGTGCTCACTAAGTTCATATGAGTCTCGTGTGAAGAAATCGTCTAGGCTTGATAGTGCACGTGACTTGAAACATTCTGCTAAATCTCCCTGAAAAGAATACCGTAGTTAAAATAGGTCCTGGACCCAAGTAAAAAAAAGAATTGCTGGACCAACGTTTCTGTCCATGGCTGGCCAGAACCATGTTTTGTGATGTGGTTGGTATGTTTTGGCACTAATTCTTACGGTTGGTCAACCAACAAATTTTTAACGAAGGCCAACCATCCCATGGGACCTAAACATAAAACACAAAATAGTAAAGATTTTGTATGAAAAGCATAATTATTAGTTGAGTAAATTGATTAAATAGTTCATAAAAACAAATTTTGAAAAAAAAAACTAGAACAACAATTTTTTGACCAGACCTTGATCCTGATACGATACTTTCGCCTTATGAGTCTCTGACCTTACCTCTGAGCTATATGTGATTGTTGATACAAATAGTTTTCAAGTGGTCAAAGAGTACTTAAAATATACAGTGTGTAACTTAAGTCTTGAAACAAATCTGTATTTTTAAAACCGAAGTACATAGAAATATTCTGTTTGTGGCAATAATTGTTTACAAAGATTCCGCAATTTTGTACATCAAAAATATTTTTTTAACCCTCCTAACAGGGTAGGTGGTAGGGAAGGACTTATTTTTTCAAATAGCAACCCCTATTGAGTTTGAAAAGGGTTTGTCAAAAAAAAAACAACAATGACGCAAACCCGAGGTAGATATCTCACCCCTAGCCAAAATGGGTGCTTTTTCACAATCAAATCAAATTTTGGAATACCTCCCTGCCATTTAGGCTGGAGGTGAAATATCTACCTCGGGTTTACGTCATTGTTTTTCTTTTGACAAGCCCTTCAAAATGAGGGGTCACTCAATAGGGGTTGCTGTTTGAAAAAAATAAGTCACCCCTTACCCCCTACCCTGTTATGAGGGTTAAAAAATATTTTTGATCTAAAAAATTACGGAATAATTACAATCAACGCCACAAACAGAATATTTCTATCTATATCCGTTTAAAAAATACAGATTTGTTTCAAGACTTAATTTACACACTGTATATGATAGTACAGTATATAATATGATTCTGTTTAGGCATCAAAGTGGTTGAATTGTTTTTCTGGGGGTTTGAAAGGATACTGGTATTTGAATATAGATTTTTTAGTTACCATTAGGTTAGTAATGTAATTATAATTAATTGTTTTATATATATGATTAACTAGCTGTGTGCCCGTTCTACATACGGGAATCTTGGACAGGAGTTGGTTTGCATATTTAATATGCATTTTTCCAGATAGTCTGGCAAAACTATTACTGTAAACTTATAGGAATGCATTTAACCAGTGTGAAAAGTAACTTTCAATTACAGGCCTACCCTAGGGCTATGCCTCTTAGATCTGTAAAGCAATTCCTTTTATCATTAGATATAAAATATGGACTAACACGATCGGATGACATTTAATTGCGAAGCATTCATTTTGGCTTGAAACTGTCAGATATTGTATTTGCGAAGGATTATAGGTACGTGAACAACTTAAAGCTTTAAAAATTCATGATGGTTTGCTAAACAAATCTTTCATTAATGTTTTATCATTTTCATAGCATAAACTAACATTTTGGAGTCCAGACAGAAAATGCAAAAATTATACAGTAAGACATCAATTAAATTTAATAAGAAATGAGGTGCAGCACTAATGATAACAAAGTTGTAAATAGTGATGTGTTTGTACGTAATAATTATTCTTACTGCTACCACGGGTTCTAAGGAAAAGTACCAGCACCAAAAACCAATGTTTACACTTACAGTTAAGAAAAGATATATAGTACTTACGACCAATTCAAACTGTCCTAATCAAACTGTATTATAGGTGTTAATCCGTTGGCAAATATATAAATAAATAAATACACAGGCCACAAAATATTGATACGTTGACAACGTAAAGCTTTAAAATTCATCATGGTTTGCTCAAAAAATCTTTCACTTGATTTGGCATCAGTACCTACCAAAGTTTTTAATCTCCCTCTTGGTTTTGGATTTTTTTAAGTTTTTGAAAATCAAAGTTATTTCCCATTAATAGGATTATTTGTAAGCAACGTTTAATATTAACATATTAATGACAGTTTGAAAAAACCACCTTTATCCAAACAAAGGTTTCTTATTTAAAAGATTGGGTAATCTCTAAACTAGCAAACATTCGCAGGAAATGTGACAAAAACGCGCAAATCTGGGATTTTTGACGTTTGTAGTTTTACTTCCTAAGTAGGAAAAGTACCGATATAGTTGTGGAAATGTAAGTAAGTAGAAACCACAAGTGACACATTTGAAAAGCGAGTTTAGCTACATCTGTAAGTTAAACCTCTGTTACAATCACAGCGAAATCATAAAGATCTTCCAAGATCACAGCTACATCCACGATCACCCACTGCAGTTGTGATTTTACTTTGCACTTTACACAACTGTTCTTGAAGTGCCGTCAATGAGTGGAAACCTTTTTTGTAAGCTATTGGTGACAATGATAAAAATAATTTAAGTTTCCCAGCACTATACAACACGGTCTTTCCCCGGTTATCAAAACTCAAGAACAATCGTTGCACTTGCGATTAATTAAACCGGTTAAGTAAGGCACAACATTTTTAATCTCACTTGGTTTGGATGTGCTTACTAAACTTGATCGGAAATGGTTGCGGTATTTGTAAACAGTATTTAGTGTAAACATATCAGTGACAGCTAGATGTGAGAACTATTTCAATCAGCTGATCATTATTTCATCAAATGTAATAGTAAATATTGAGAGAAAATTTGATAAAAATCAAACGAAATTGTGTTTTTGATGGTTCGTTACTTTGTTTTCAAAGAAGCGAGGCCATGTTTTTATAGCCAAAGACACTCTCACCAACCCAGTAAATACAGAAAATGATTTGAACCTTGATCGGCCGGTAATCTAGTCTTCTAGGAGTACGCGGCGTAAAATGACATTTTGGCAAAGACAAACAGACAGACAGACTTCTATTAGGTCATTGTTTTCCTCGACACTACCTAACGCCTTCTTTGATATAATTGTATGCTGGACCGATGAAACAATCAAATGGCCAGGGATAGCTCTGCTTGAAACAGTTTTCCAGCAAGCAAATGCTTAACAGCATTTACTGAGTATATAACCTCTAATATTTCATCCAGTCCTGTACCACTCATTACAAATCCAATACATCCAAGGAAACTCATTATTGTATGGAGCCCACCTAACCTTAAGACAGTTTTCCTCAAAATACTTGTCTCTGTTTCATTACAAATAATACTCAAAGCCTTATGTGGAACAAGGTTGATCGAAAGTCAGAACAGATGTTTGGTTGTATTTTTTAGCATGATCAGCAACAAACAGTAGGGTTGAGAGGATACAAGTTTCATTTGTTGGACTCACGTCTATCATTGGCAGAAATACTACTGATGGTACACCTAGTGTTCGCCTTAGTGGAGAAGTTGACAATATCTGCCATGCTGGTACTGTCGGTTTTTAAAAGTCGTGACATGTTCCACAATATATCCAGATTTTTGGTGAGGTAATAATAGTGGATTTCTTTTATAGTACCTTGGGACCGAGCTTTGCTAGGAGGAAATCATTAGTTTACTATGAAAGCAGTCTTAGTACTGCAGATACATTAAACCATTCCCAAACTCCACACTGCTCGCCTTTAATACTTCCTTCACCACTCCCTACGTCATGGACCTGTTTCCCTCCCTTCCAATAGCATTTTAGGATTGCAGATACATTAATGTAATAGTCATAGACAATTCTCTCACTATGCACTGCTAGCCTTACTACTTCCTTCACCATTTCTACGTCATGGACCTGTTTCCTTCCCTTCTCATAGCATTTAAGTATTACAGATACATTAATCTAACTGCCACAAACGGTTCTCCACTCTGCGATGCCAGCCTTTACTACTTCCTTCACCACTTCCTACGTCGTGGACCCCTTTTCCTTCCCTTCTCATAGCATTTTAGAATTGAAGATACATTAATCTAACTGACACAGACGGTTCCCAGACTCTGCGATTCTAAACTTTACTACTTCCTACGCCACTTCCTACCTCGTGGACCTGTTTTCATCTCTTTCCACAGCATTTTAGTATTTTATAGATACATTAATCTAATTGCCACAAACATTCCCCACACTCCATTCCATTCCCAAACTCCACACTACTCGCCTTTACTACTTCCTTTACCACTCCCTACGTCGTGGACCTGTTTCCCTCCCTTTCCATAGCATTTTAGGATTGCAGATACATTAATGTAATTGCCATAGACAGTTCCCTCACTCTGCACTGCTAGCCTTTACTACTTCTTTCACCATTTCCTATGTCGTGGACATGTTTCCATCCCTTCTCATAGCATTTCAATATCGCAGATACATTAATCTAACTGCTACAATCGGTTTCCAGTTCCCACACTCCACACTGCTCGCCTTTACTACTTCCTTCACCTCTTCCTACGTCGCAGGCTTGTTTCCCTCCCTTCCTACGGCATTTTAGGATTGCAGATTCCTTAATCTATTCGTCATTAACAGTTCCCACACTCCGGACTGCTCGCCTTTACTACTTCCTTCACCACTTCCTACATCGCAGACCTGTTTCCCTCCCTTCCCATAGCATTTTAGCACTGCAAATACCTTAATATAATGGTCATAAACAGTTTGCACACTTCGGACTACTTGCCTTTAATACTTTACTTCACCACATCCTACGTTGCGGGCCTGTTTCCCTCCCTTCCCATAGCATTTTAGGATTGCAGATACCTTAATCTAATCGTCATAAATAGTTCGCACACTCCAGATTGCTCGCCTTTACTACTTCTTTCACCACTTCCTACATCGCAGACGTAGTAGTCAAGGACCTGTTTCCTTCCCTTCCCATAGCATTTTATGATTGCAGATACCTTAATGTAATCGTCATAAACAGATCCCACACTCCGCACGGCTAGCCTTTACTACAATGTATCGAGTAATCTTCAGTATAAGTAATCTTCAGTATAATCTTTGCTCAATAGTAGCAAGTGATTTTT